TGATATGGTTAATACTCGTATATATAGTTTTACCGTAGGATGTAAGCCATCGTCGAACAGTTTTTGCAACGCGTGCAGTATCTATTTAAGCTGCCCGTTGTAGCAAGGAAATAATTTATAGGCATACACAACAACCATAGGTGTACGTATTTCATATTATACAGTCCGATAGGTGTTATTAGGTTTGAGAATTGTAATTAATAGCATATGTATCGTAAGGCTGCACTCAATTCCTCCCCTGCTATCATTGCATTTTTTTAAAATCCTGGATTTCGATTTTCAATAATTTTTTAGAAAATACGTCAGTTATTAGGCTTTTTTTGTTCAAATTAATAATTAAACGATTCCAAGAAACCGTAATAAAATATTAAGTTTTTAGTTTTTAAATACATATAATATTGTTGAATATTGTTGACTACAGTTGATCAAAACATTTTAAGCCCTCTCCTGAAAACCGTTGAGGTCAGTTAAGACCTTAAAGTAACTATTATTGTCTGTATAGTAAGTACTTGGATTACTTACTGAAAACGTGGTCCGACTATAGCAAGACCAACGCAACGGTTACAAAATTATACAATATTATTACACCAGTAGATGATAACCGCACCGGATTAATTGAACGAGTGTTTTCGTATTCCACGAACGGATGACAGATATATTGTTATTAATTAATATTATAGTCGTATGGTAAAATGGTTACACGGCAATGGTAGTGTTCGTTTTGCACGTTTCTGCATCAAATACACGTAGAACGTAATTGCAACTGATTTAATTGCTTTATTTTGAATGCTAGTAAAATTAATAATTTTTTTTTTTTTTAAAGTTTCCAAGTTTAAATGATCAACGAAGCGTTCGTTATAATTTGATTGCATTCCCATAGCCGCTTTTCATTATATTTTAAATATATTTATATACATTTTTTTTTGTTTCCACTAAAAATGGTTTTCCGAAAAAACAAACCGATGTATTTAATAATTGTTTGAATTCGGGCTAGTCCAATGCTCTCTAAATTTCTATGTTCATAAATGTTATATTTAAATTCTAAATTTCAATTCATAATGCGAAACTAAAAATTTACATTTTTATAGGTTTATACGTATACTAAAAATTAATCAAATAAAAATGCGCTCTTCGCAAATTAAAAACCAATTCCATTCGGTAAAACTGCATTACTACACATTGATATTTAATTGAAATATAATTATCATCTATTAAGTTTACATAATATACTGCAATAACGTGTACGCAATAAATTAGTTTAACAACAGAAACGTAATAATCCTTAGCTGTTTTTGTCAATATAAGATAATTATTTAGACAGTTCAAAGATAATATACTTAATTAATTAAACTCCATACCATATAAATCATCAGAAGTTAGATATCGACTTTGAATAAAATAAGGAGTAATATTTTTCAAACAACCACAGTGGGTCTTTTGCGAAAATATCCATACTTATTTAGTTAATATGCATTCACAACACGCATCTAATAAATAATGTGAACTATGTAGTCATAAAACGAGATTTTCGTCGGTTTTATTTTACATCATTCATAGTTAAAATCGATTATGATATGCGTGTAATATATAAAATTATTATTATAAATTGATATTATGAATCCGCGGGCAACATTATTGTAATCGTTGAGCAAGTAAAATGCTAACCTAACTTTCTGCTCTAAATGTCTTGCTCAGCGGAGAGTTAGCATAAGACTTTTATTTAATATTCGAAGAGATATTTTTGCCGGCAAGTTGTCTCGTAGAAATTAATTAGAACGAAGAGTCGGACGAGAAATACTTTCGTGTCGCTTAGTATTCATTCCGAAGATCGTTCTAAAATCGTTGCATAGTCAAAGAATCGGGAGCCGAGTGATTTTGACGAGTGTGACTTTGCTTCCGGCAAATGTACAGTATACCGTATTCAAATGCGTGCGTACAATAATGATAATAGTATACCGTCGTGATACGTTTTGCAACGATAAGCACTGCCGTTGTCGTAATTACTGTCTGTCGACGACGTCTTTTGCCCGACGGATTTGCTACATGGATGTGTAACACGCAGACCCTTTCGGCTCGGCTCGTCTCGTACGACAATAGCAAAATGCCGTTGTAATAAAACGAGTTCATTTGGCTTGGCGGGAACGTCGGCCGTTTAACTTCTTGTCAACTCGATTTTTCGCACATCCCTTCAGGGAGTGACAACGGAAACGCGAGTTCCCCGAGGACAGTCCGACTCGGTAGTGTTTAACCGATCAACGATCCTCTCATTTCGTCCGCCACGTTTCCGAATTAATTTCTATTTCGACTTTCTTTCGCATCCCCGGCGCGAGAGAGACAGAAAACGTCCATAACGTATTACATTATTACGCTGCTAATGCAAACAATATTCACGGCGTCGGTGGATCAAGAAATCAGGTTTCACCGATTGGTAATAAGCTCATTTTATCGCTATCCAACTAATATATTGACCAGTTCTCTATTTTATATATATATGTAACAATAATAATAATAATAATAATAATAATAATAATAATATTGTCGACGTCGACGTAATCCGTAATTTTTAAAATACCGATGGAGAAGTCTATGTGTAGCGGTACGCGACTCGATTTCAAACACGCACGGAATGCGTGTGACCCGAATAGTAAAATAACATAACACCCGTTTTGCCGTTACGCAAACAACAGTATTACACATTTATACGGTAGTGTAATTACAACAATTGTCTGCGAAATAATGTCGTTTTCACGGGAAATAGTAAAAATATTATATGAGCATATACAACAGTGATACTTTTATTATTATTATTATTCAATTTTTTCACGTGACGAGAAATATATCGTAAACGAATATCATCAATGTTAATCCGAGACTATAACGATGGCAAATTGAATAATAATTTTAATAATAATATCATGTATTACATTTTTTCTACTTCTATTATTGATTTTTCTTGTCTATTAGGAGCTGAACGATACGAACCGGTATATACATCTTATTTATAGAAATTCATAATAATAAATAATTATGTGTTTTTTTTAAAAAAAAAATAATATTTGTTGTTATATGTGTGATGGTTTTTTTAGTATAATCAAAGTTCTAAAAGTTTCACGTAACCGTTCAAAGATTGGTCACTCATGGTACACATACTTTTGTTTAGTCATTTTCTACATTTCCCAGTAGTTTTTCGAAAAATAACACAAAAGCGAAAAGTGTGACTGCAGTGCGAGTAACCCGGTGGGAGTCTTGTGTTCAATTTCTGTTGGTGCAAAACTTTTGGCCTTATTTTATAAGTTTTTAATAATCATTTAGGGTTGACATTTTACCGATTATTTATTTTAAAACCTATGTGATAAATTCAAAAATTCAAGTAAACCGTTTTCATATTCAATTAATACAATTTAGACCTCTAATGTTATAATAAAAATATACCATTACGGAGTTACACTAAATTTAATGAAATTAGATTCAACCTTGTCTATTTTCCTTCCGTCTATTTTTCACATACAACAACATTTTAAATTTTATTATCTTGAAAAATGAATCATATACGATCGCGGCGTTTAATCATAAAACCATAGCAAGCTGCATTATCTTCTGAAGGATTAACTGAGACCCAACTTTTACACACCGCATGTAAATGAGTATAATATAAAAATTAAGTTATTACGCGGTATTTACGTGCAATAAACTCGTAAGTTTTTATTGTTACAAGGAATAATAATAGTAATCACAGTAAAAAGTATAGTCATATTTGTTGTATCAGATGTAGGTTTTTTGAATGAATGAAAAGTTAAGTATAGTGCACTTGTTAAAGGTTATAATGTGCTCATAATCAACACGCTGTATATGATCTTAAATAATATTTGTATAAATTAAGATATTCAAATGCTTATATTAACTAGAAGTCCATCTTTGCCGAGCATAAAAGATAGAAAAAAATCTTATTTACGTTCACGGCATCAATAATGTATGAAATAATGGTGTAATAATTAGTTAAAATTCGTTTAATGGAATTCAATGTTAAAATACTTTATTTAAGTCAGTTGATATATTTTATGTGATTTTTAAATATAAAAATATTCTCTTTATCGTTGTTCGCTGACGGTGTATATTGGAATTTTTCAAATAATACATTTTAAAAATATTTGTATCTCGTATGAATTTTTATAACAAATTAAAAAAATAAGGAAAAGGTCTTTAATACGCAATGTAAATAAAATATACATTTTTGAGCAACTTAATGTTCTACTACTGGTATTCGATAATTATTCTGTGCAACATAAGTGTATGTGTGCACTAAAATAAATTGATTATTATTTTATGAGATTGATACAAATGGCAGAAGAAAATCTAATTTTTTTTTTTTTTTTAATATAAACACGGTATAATCAAAATCATGTTATTGGCATGAGAATTTTGAATTATATAATATAAATATTTTATTTTAAACTTAATTTGATTGAAAATCACCTCGATAAAGTTTGAATAAGGTAAAAATTATAGATTCTTAATTTATATTTTTGAATGATTTTATACTTTCAATAAAAAAAATAAAAATATTTTCTACATATAATATAATATAATATACATATAAAATTTTCTTCGTGTAATATCTACAGGAAGTTTTGGGCTATGATGCTACTGATGTGGGTAAAATATTTTTAACAAAATTTTGGCTAACATCGATCTCTTCAAGCAAAGTACACTCATTAATTAAAAAATGTATCAAAATAAGTTTGGTCAATTTCCAGGTGTGTGCATTTTCCCACGTTCCTTAGTTTCGGGAAGCCATGTTTTTGGTATATTAAGCATATATTTTTTTTTTATAATGTATAAATGGATATTCTATTGAATATAATATTTTGGTCGAGTCAAAGGGATAGCCACGTTTTATTGAAAGCCACCGATTCATTGCCTTGTTCATTTTTCTTAAGACCCCCAAAATATATATAAGAGTGAACATGTACTCAATACTGCACTATACTTTTTTTTTACAGATGTTACCGACAAACAAGTAAGACAAGACATGTTTGAGTTCATAACGGGCGCTATAGAACCAACGGCAGCATTAGTTACGGCTGCTCTATATGTATTGTCACGCGATCAAAACATCCAAGATAAACTCAGGGAACATTTGGACGTTGTGCTCGATAAGCACCAGCAAAGAATTACAATAGACCAATTGGATAGATTGACTTACTTAGAAAATGTGTTGGAAGGTAAGTTTTAAACATAGCATATAAAAGTTCTAATTGTTTGTTATTCGTACTTGAAAAATGTGTTACGTAATATGAAATTATTGTCTACGCATGTATAATATGTAATGTAACACTAAAAAAATGACAAAAACATACTAAATACTAAATTCAGACTTCTAATAAAAAAGAAAATGGATATATTCTCTGATGAATAATCCAAATATCTAGACGAGTAAGATTTTCGTAAAAAATAGTATAATTGAGAAATACGATTAAAATGTTAGTAACCAAGTAAATAATTTATTATGAAGATTTAAGGTTAGTTACATTTGCTGAATTCTAAAGTACTTACAATGAATCCTTAAATACATGCATTCATATTTCTATGTTTTGTCTCATTTCCATTTAATATGTAAAAACGTATTCAGCAAATAATTGAAAGTTGAATAAACGTAAATAAATACAGACTTATCAAATTAGTCCGGGTTGCCTGACTTTTATTAGTAATTGTATTTACACACGTTCTGCTAATCGTTTATAACACTAAATAACTACTGGTGTATAATATAAGTATGGATATAATTTTTCTAAATATTTAGAGAACCACACGAAACAGTTACAAATGTTACACGATTAAAAATCGGAAATAGGTAAAATTGTTTTGAAATATATATTTTTTTTAAACATAGCATTGAGTAATTATCCAAATATAAGTACACACTTCAGATTAATCGGACAAACTTGTATTGATCGCATGTTCGTTAGGGGAAATTAATCCATTTATAATATAATAATATCACATCTAGACGGCCAACAATCGCAATTCATGAGCAAAATATAATATCAGCTGTTGTAACTATATATATATTATAAACATACAGCTATATTATTTTGAGCTCCAAGATTATTCCGTTACTTCAGGCTGTCATCTGTCAACTGCACTGTACGCACATCATACGGTTACGTAAATTATGTAAATTATTCATTTTTGTTTTCAAATTTTGTGATTGCGTAATTAAATCATGAGTTCAATATTAATATTAAGATTAATACAAATCCAATGACTCTTTTTATTAAAGGACACGTCATATGATTTTTATTTGTTGTGAAAACCATGTGTACATCAACCTATTTATTTATAAATATACTATCTTAACTATATATGGTTTGTTTGTCAAACATGACCCTAAGTTATTATTTCATTACATAATTTTCGATTTCAAAAAATTACAACTATAATTGTTTTTTATTTCTTTTCGGTTTTAATAAAGAAACATTAATATTGGTTCTACTATCAATAGCAATTTATAAAATGTATTTGAAGTTTTATATTTTATCCGAATACCAACATTCATTTATTTTTTATATATGTAGTTTGCATAATAGTCTAATACGGCGGTTCTCAAACTTTTTTTTCGCTTACCACTTGAATATATTATCAATCAGTCGCGGACCAAAAATGATTAAAAATAGAACTATACAAACTGTATACAATAAAATACATTTATCTTAAACAAAAAGGCAAGAAAATACTACAGTAAAATTATTATTTGTTTATTAAAACAAATTTATTAGTGTTTTTAAATTTAAACCAGAGTTAAATATCAAATTTTTAATTTCCTTTCTACCACCATGCAGCCTTCCACGTACAACCTCATAGTATTTTGCATACCACAGTTAGTGGATATAGTAACAAAGCCATTAGTCTAATACAACTCTAGAACACTACTTAAAATAAAAAATTCAATTTTTCTGATTTTTATTTTATTCCAATTTTTATTGTTATTGGTAGTCATTGATTAATAAATTAAAATGTAAACGAAATTTTTGTAGTATAAATGTTTTAAAACTTCTAATAGTTCAAATACTTGAAAATTAAAACGTAATTTAATGTATAGAAAAACACAAAAATTATATTTTAGTAATTCATTAAATAATTTCAATTTCTTTATATGAATTCAAAGTAAAAAACGTAATGTTCGATGTTCATTCTAAGAACGAAGGTCTTTTGTAGTCCAAATACTTTTTTAATAAATTGTATTTTTTGTAGACCTTATTACAAAATTTTTAATTTTATTTTAAAACTTTAAAACAATTTTATTCTAATAAATTCGACGTATTTATCATACACAAATTCAATGAAATTAAAAATTAATATAATTTATTTGAAAACATTCGAAAAAAAGAATTTATTCTTAATAAATTAAGAATATAAAATGGAGAAAATAAGTTATACCCTTATAAAATAAAATATTTTGGATAAAAATATACAAAATTAAATTCCCTTAAATTCAATTAGTACATTAATATCCATATAAATTTAAAGTGGTATGTAAAAAAATAAAGTTATTTTATCTATGAATGCGAATATAGTGTCTGAAATAGCAAAATGTGTCACTTTTGAATATTCTATATTATATCTTAACAATATTTAATAATGAATTATATAAAAGTAATGAGAGGTTTTCCTCATTGGTAAATAGGATTAAAATAAAAATAGTGTATACATTATTATTATTATTATTATTATTATTAATATTGATCTAATAATTGAAAACGTTCATGTAATATACTTTGAGCTACTGAAGTTGAATAGGGAATTAATATTTAAATAATATAAATGAGTATATATATTTATAACTTAAAAGGTTTGCAGAATTTTTAACCAGATTATAAAATTATTTTCAATTAAAAGATCAAAAATTTACTTAATAAGTAGGGAATGTTGATTATCTATATTAAGTTTCTTATTTATACAAATTCTGATTTTTTTTTTTTAAAAAAAAAAATACACTTTGACAAATTTTTTTTCACTTGGAATATAATGTTCTTGTCAACAAAGATTTATACGTCACATATTATTGCCAACAATTATATTGTCCTTCTTAGAGTGAAAAAAACAATTTCTTGTGATTCACTTTCATAAACTCTCTTTTATTTGGCTCTGTCTCAAATTGTAATGGACGACACTAAACCAAGTATTAGCTATGCATCATTTTAACATGTAATACAAAATTTCAACACAATACAAAAAATTTGACTATCAATATATTTTATTATATATCGACTGAATTAAAAAATTTTTAAGTTTTTTCCGAAAGTTGAAGATTTATTATAATAAATATACTCTTTATGAAATCTACTCGAAATTGACAGGTGAGGCAGGTTAGATGCTAAGAAATTAATTTAACCAAAGCACATAATATCACACTGTTAAAATTACTTTAGTAGTAATATATTTTGTAGACATAGTAGAGTATACTTAAATATTAAAATTATATAGTTCTAAATAAAAGGAAATCTGTAAAAAACAAGATGAAAGAATTAGTGTCTTGACGTGAATAAAGAATATTCAAAATGTATAAAGGGTATCACTTCTTCTTTATAAAAAAAATTGATAAGAAGCCAAGCCAAGAATCCAGAGAGAATATTTTGAATACTATTTCCAAAAAAAAAAAAAATGAATGTTTAGTTATTGTAATTAGCATATTTAATTACAATACAGTTTCCTTCTTATCTTTCATGACCATTGACCATTGACCAATTACATAATTATTCATAACATATAATGCTAAACAGGCTGCAAAATATTATTTACACGTGCAGCTTTTATTAAAATGCGTGAAGCATAGTTTCCGTATTAAACGAATTCTACAATAAATCAATAATTTAAATCAGTTCGATTTTAATTAAAGTAGCTCTAATATATATGCAACCGTTTATACACATTAATATCACAAAACGAATTTAATAACTTGCTAATAAAACAAAAAATAAGTCCTGAAGCCTAATTGATTATGAGTAGAGTACAGATGGATTTTGAAGGCATTTGCTTTTTTTCTTAATCTTTATCTTTTTTCTTATGACTTTATTCATAGTCAGTTACAAATTCGATTTATACAACTTAAAATAAAATGCACGACATTTAATTTTACTTTTCTTTGCGTTTTTCATTTATTAATGCTTTTTTGGGTACTTTGGATACTTTTTTTTTTTTAGTTACATTTTTTCAAAATTAGTTCTAAATAAACGTATTTTAAATGTAAATATTTATTTTTATATTATATAATGTATTACAAATCTTGTTCAATAATTTCTTAACAGCCTTTACCCATATGTTCTATTTATCACATACCAAAGATTAAAGAGTAAATTAATTTATCTTCAAACGACAATAAACATAATAATCTTTCTCCAGAAATTATCTACTCAAAATTACAGTTTAGCAGTTTAGGTTCTGTTGTAACAACGTTTATTCATTCACATAATATTATTATTATTTTTTTTTTTTTTTTTTAGTGATTTTCTTTAGTTTTTTATTGCATTGAAATCCGTACTCAAGTAATAAAATATTACAAAATTAATGTGTATTCCATTTCAATTTATTTTATTTTAAAATGTTAACTTGTAGTGAGTTTTATAGTAAAATAAATAATTTAAAAAAAAAAGTATTAAATTCAAAATAATTTATTTAAAATTAATCAAATTTCAAATTTCCTAATAATAATAAATTATTTAAAATAAATGTTAAAAAATTATTAGATTTTCTACTCATTTTGTCTAACACAATAAAAAAGAAATAATTTCAAAGTAAATTATTTTAAACAAATAAACGAAATACAAATTTAAAATTATAAAAAACCATGATGTTAAAAAGTATTATAAAAATTAATATAATGAGAATGGATAAAATATTAAAAAAATGAAGATCTTGGTATCACCAGTTCTAAGACGAATAATATAATTTTAAAAGAAATTGTGCCAAAAATTTAAAATTACCAACATAATAATAAATATTAAGAAATGGAAAAATAAACTTAATGGTAAATAATAGTAATTATATAATTACATGACTTCATACAAATAATCTAAGATCCAACAAGTATGTAAATTTAAATTTCAAAAATTAAAAATTAAATTATAAGTAAATTTTATGCCGTTAAAATAAATGTCAAATGAAGTTAGAGCATCGACCTAATACAATCCAACAAAAAAAGACCCAGAGGCAAACTAATAATAGA